TCTGAAATGGATCCAAGGTCCACTGTCCAAAAAAACTAGCGGTATGCTTCAGTTCCGACCCTGTTTTTAATGGCGTTCGCCTGTTTTAGGTATTTTGAGACCTGACCATGGGGCGTTCTTATTTCTAGAGTGGGAGAGGGCGTATTTTGGTAGTAGACTTTAAACTGTAACACGGTTTGCAGTCTCATAATGCAAGTGAACCGAATTGGCTCCAACCGCCTGAAGGTAGGAAAACACAAGAGATAGTGTCCCTGACTCTTGAACCAATAGTTATAGTGCCTATTTTTCTTAGCCTTATATGTGACTTAAATAGGCGACTGTTACACATTTCATAGAAAAAGTTAGAAAAAAATAAACTGCATCTCCATTTATCATTTTAAAAAATATATTAGATAGATAGATAGATAGATAGATAGATAGATACTTAAATTAGATATAGAATGACATCTATAAACCGTAATAAGAAATAACAAATCAAACTATATGTCATGAAGTCTGCGCAGCAGGCGATAAGGAAATATTTTCACTTGCCTCTCCATCTTACAGCGAGCAATAGGTGGATCACGACAGCGCAGGTTGTTTGCTGAGTAGGTAGAAAGTGTCAGAACTAATGTAACATTCGTCTACTGTAGTCACACATGAGGCTTAAGAAAAATAGGCCCTATAACCATTGGCTCAAGAGTCAGGGACACTATCTCTTGTGTTTTTCTACCTCAAATCAGTCGGAGCCAAAAACAGGGTCGGAACAATCAGCACAGTTACTTTTTATAAGACAGTGGAACTTTGATCCATTTCAGATGGATCAACCTAAAACTCTCCTTACCTCAACATAACAATCATAAAACACAAACGAGAAAACTAAATTGGGTACTCACATATCAGCACACTCAAGAATTGGAGTAACTAAATCAGTAAGCAACTCGAGAAATAAGTATGATAACTTGAGAAGTTTTATACTAATTAATTTCAACAAGGGAAATAAGTTTTGACTCAAGAATTGAAGTTTTGGTGTGAACCATTGGGACACCCCAGCTGTCCACCTTTCCACTGAGGGTTCACTCTAGTTCAACTCGAATAAATGTATTCTCCTTCTGTAATCACTCCTTCTCCTATTTCAGGATAGGACGGCTCTACTCGCGTTTAGTTTGTATCTGGAAATTGCGATTAGCAATTCCCCGCTGCTTTTTCAAGTACTTTCCCGCGATCGTAAATCGGATTTTCTGATCTTCTATTTCTGAGATTTTCAGTTTTCGCGAGAAAGAAAATTAAATTTCCTCCCAAAATTACGTAGTTCGTATTCCTCAAGGTCAAACTTCCAAATATGACCGACTGGCACAGATGCTGGGAGCGGTGCCTGCGGATCGAAGGGAGGACTCGAGTGAGACCTGGGGGGAGTTTGCAAAGAGAGAACAACAGTGACTTCGAGAGGTATAACACGGTAGGAAGACGACGAACCATGCCCAAGCCGTGGATGAGAATGACCTGACGCATGCGAAGATGATGGAGTTCGAACCTTTGTTTGAAGCTTCAGGAGAGTGCAACCTCCGAAGCATCAACTTGACGCACGGAGAATGCCCATGTCATTGTCTGGTGCAGACAGTGTGGTACCCGGAGCAGTCAAATCTCTGCTTGATATGGGATGTTGAAGAGATTCGGACGATAGGACTACCTGACCATCAACAAAAAGTCACCCTCTTCGAGGTGATTTCCATGATGGCGCTGCAATGGATGAAGGAGAACGTAACGAAGTATCGGGAGCCGAAGAAACCAACTGTGGAATCGATACATGCCATTGACTATAGCCGGATTCTCGAGTTGTTTGAGTTTGCGTGCAAAGTATTCGCTGTACCCATGGAGGTGAGGCACGTGGGGAGTCGCATACGATTCTTCTCATGGTTTAGGGCGACACTGACGTCTTGGCTGTATACGTTGACGAAGACTTACATGAAGAAACATCAAATGCAAAATCGTCAGTTCTTGGCCGAGATCGGGCCAGAGGCCTTCAAGAGACCTTTGCTCACCCATCGCAACGCGATAACCACGGGTTGGAAAAGGGTTGATAGGGTCTCTAGAGATAATATAGGGTTGGTAGGTGTTCTGATTGGATAGGTCAAAAGAAATTTTAATGAATAGCCTATAAAGCTGGAATTCAGGGTGCAGGTGGATGCATATTTTGATTGCTGTTTAGCGATCATGTGAGAATTTTGGTTGGCTGTGAATATTGGGTTGTAGATAAAATTAAAGGAGCTGCAATTTCCTGTAAATGACTACTGGCACTGTATCTTGAGACGCACTCAACATTCTGGGGGCTCACTGACAGGCGACGACACGTTATGAGGACATCGACCCGGCAGTATGTGCCAGTCGTTCATATTTGGAAGTTTGACCTTGAGCTGAACGTTTAATCTTGATTTTGGGGAGAAAAGAAATTTTTCAAAATTTCGAATTGAGACTATCATGCTGAAGTTTTTCGCGACAACTGACAATACGAAAAAAAGCAGTCAGAAGATTCGAGTGAGAATTGCGGGAAAGTTGCCGAAAAATACAAGAGTAAAATTGCTATTCGCAGTTTTTCAGAATTACACGACGCGAGTAGAGCTAACTTGTTCCCAATAGGAAATCAATAGTTCAGAAAGAGAGAGAGAAGAACAATCAACTGTACCAGAGTGACCCTTGAGTGGAAAGGTGGACAGCTGAAGCTGCCCAATGGTCCAGATAGAAAAACTTATTCTTGAGTTCAAACTTATTTATTCAAAACTTGGGTTAGAGTTAATTATCCTAAATTAATTCTAGAGTTGCTTTACGATTTAGTTACTCAATTCTAGAGGTTGTGTCGGTATGTGAGTACCTAATTTAAAATTCTTGAGTGTGTTTTATGTGATTATGTTGAGTTAAGGAGAGTTCTTAGGTTGATCCATCTGAAATGGATCCAAGGTCCACTGTCCAAAAACACTAGCGGTATGCTTCAGTTCCGACCCTGTTTTAATGGCGTTCGCCTGTTTTAGGTATTTTAAGACCTGACCATGGGGCGTTCTTATTTCTAGAGTGGGAGGGGGCGTATTTTGGTAGTAGACTTTAAGCTGTAACACGGTTTGCAGTCTCATAATGCAAGTGAACCGAATTGGCTCCAACCGCCTGAAGGTAGGAAAACACAAGAGATAGTGTCCCTGACTCTTGAGCCAATAGTTATAGTGCCTATTTTTCTTAGCCTTATATGTGACTTAAAAAGGCGACTGTTACACATTTCATAGAAAAAGTTAGAAAAAAATAAACTGCATCTCCATTTATCATTTTTAAAAAAATATTAGATACATAGATAGATAGATAGATAGATAGATAGATAGATAGATACTTAAATTAGTTACAGAATGACATCTATAAATCGTAATAAGACATAACAAATCAAACTATATGTCATGAAGTCTGCGCAGCAGGCGATAAGGAAATATTTTCACTTGCCTCTCCATCTTACAGCGAGCAATAGGTGGATCACGACAGCGCACGTTGTTTGCTGAGTAGGTAGAACGTGTCGGAACTAATGTAACATTCGTCTACTGTAGTCACACATGAGGCTTAAGAAAAAAAGGCCCTATAACCATTGGCTCAAGAGTCAGGGACACTATCTCTTGTGTTTTTGTACCTCAAATCAGTCGGAGCCAATTCGGTTTGCTTGTGACGTGAGACTACGACCCGTTACAGCTTAAAGGCTACTACCAAAATATCCCCCACTCTAGAAATAAGAACGTCCCCATACTTAGGTCTCTAGATACCCAAAATACATGAACGCCGTTAAAAACCGGGTCGGAATAATCCGTTAAGTTACTTTTTATTAGACAGTGGAACTTTGATCCATTTCAGATGGATCAACCTAAAACTCGCCTTACCTCAACATAACAATCATAAAACACACTCTAGAAATTTAAATTGGGTGCTCACATCGTAGCACGCTCAAGAACTGGGAGTAATTAAGTTGGTAAACACTCGAGAATTAAATAATGTAACTAAATGAGTTAAATGTTTGTTAGTTTCAATAACAGGAACAAGTTTGAACTCTAGAGTATAGTTTCTCGTGAACCATTGGGACACTCAAGCTGTCCACCTTGCCATCGAAGGTTCACTCTAGTCCAGTTTGAATGATAATCCAGTCGAGCAACAATAGTCCAATTCTCGGGAATACGCTTCCTTCTGTTTCAGATAGGACAGCTCTACTCTAGTTTTATTGTGACGGAAATTGCGAATGGCAATTTCCTACCGCTTTATCTGGCAACTTTCCCGCGATTGTTACTCGATCGTTCTGTTTTCTCTTTTTCGGTTTTCAGTTATCGCGAGAGAATCGTGCATGACAGGCTCCATTCGAATTTTTGAAAAATCAAATTTCACTCCAAAATTAAGCGTTCTTGTTTTTCTCAAGGTCAAACTTCCAAATATGACCGACTGGCACATAAATCAAACAACAGATGATCAGAACCTGTTTGGAGGATTGCATCGTAGAGTTTTTAGTCAGCTCTTCTAATAGTTGCAGATATTGGTTCATAAGTATCAGTAACGCCGAGCCTTATTGCACGTCTTTGAAACAAATTTATCTTCTCTAGATCTTTAACATTTGAATGACATCTATGTTATACATTTGAATGACATCTATGTTATACATTTGAATGACAAAATGTATACTTTAAGTTATACTCTTTTCAAACCTAATTTCGTTAATATCTGACATACACTTGCATACTTGAATAATTATTTTCATGAAGCAATTAAAATGTTTTTTTTTTTGTTTTTCTAGACAAACGTATTCAAGTGTTTTTGATGTTTTTTTTGGCATTTTTTCAACTTATTTTTACCAATTGTTGGCTTTTTGTAGAGCAAGTTGTCCGCGGATAAGCTTCGCCACTCTGTCTCAGCTTTCGTTAGAGCGGATCTTAGAGTGAGTGGACGTCCCGTCTGTTTGCGATTTTTCAGACTGTTTATAATCACTGCTGCAGACGCTTTTAATATTTTTCAGATAAAATGGGTGTCCCATTCGCTGACATCCAGGTAATGATAAAAATTTAAACGATCATTTTCTTTGTAAATTGCCATATCATAATGATGTATCTTTTAGCCAGCGGAAAGAGAGCGGTATAAGGCTATTTTCACTCGACTGGATCCGAAAAACGGTTATCTACCCGGAGCTGAGCTTCGCAAGGTAAAATACATCAAATGTCACAATCAATTGAGTCTTGAAATCCACAGAGACATATTCTTCAGAGACATAGGTTAAATAATTGCGCGACAAGACATCAAATTTACTAAAAAAACAATAAGTATTACAAACACTGCAAAAAGGTAAAGTTAATAAATACAAAATGCTTTTAGACGCTGCAAAAATCTAATTTGAAAGATTCCGAACTTGGAAGGCTATGGGAGTTGAGTGATATAGACAAAGACGGCTCTCTGGATATCGAAGAATTCATAGTGGTTTGTATTTTATCACAAATTTTTATTCCCAGTAGTGGACACGATTGATTGTAGGCAACCGCTTATAAGCAACAGAGGCTCGCAATGGCTTAAAAATTATATAGCTTCTAAGCAAGAGTGAGGCTAAAAGTAATAAGGTAATTTTTTTTAATATAAAAACCTCATTTTCACTTATATTGGTTCAACTTTCATCAGGAAAATCCTCTTAGAAATCAGTTTCAGACAACCATTTTTCAGAGCAGGTGCACGTGTCAACAGATTACCAAGGAGTGTTAAATTCACAGAGTAGGGCTGAATAACGAATTATTTTTTTTTCTATGGAGAGAATTTGAAACGAAGTTATTTCCAGTATTTGGAGAATTTGAACAGCAAAACTCATCTTGTTTAAGGGAATAATCCCGGGCCCACAGGGCCGAATCCATAATACATACATATAATGTTCCAACATTTCAGCCATTTTTGTGAAAAGCACTTTCACAGTGATTACAATCTTATCTACGTGTAAACATATTCAGATAAACTAGCAAGTAAGAGCTTCATTTTCATGTAATTCGACAAGCAACTGAGTCTCTAGTCGATCATAAAAAATGGATGTATGATTTTTGCATTTATATTCAAATTTGTTTAAGATGATGCATTTGATCAAACATGTCAAAGCTGGTGGTGAGATTCCATTGCAGCTGCCCTCTAACATCATCCCACGCAGAATAACAGAGATAGCTCGCAGTGGTTCATCTTCGTCTTTTACAAGTGATCGCAAAGTATCCGTTCCCGACTCACCTAGCTCATGGGTGGTAGACAATAGAACCCTTGAGACGTCCCGAGCTAACTTTATGAAATTGAATCCTGGTCCAGACGGACGAGTTCCGGGATCACTTCTGGCGCAATACTTTTTCTCTATCTGCCCTAATCAAAATGCTCTTAAGGCTAGTAGAAATACCACTGTCAAAAATTGATTGAAATATTATTTTGTAATAAGTTGACTTTGAGTTTAGACTGTATGGGATCTATCTGATACTGGAAACCAAGGCTCACTATCCGCTGAAGAGTTTGCATTAGCTGAGTTTTTGATTGAAAATAAAGTGAAGAAAAACACCCCTCTACCGGAAAAGCTTTCGCCCAATATGATACCTCCGTCCTGTAGACAAATAACACCACCGGTAACGAATAGTTTGTACTAATCACATTCAATATTCATTTGCTAATATGGTTTGAATTCAGTGAATTTTCACAAAAAATTTTTTCGCGAATGAATCGAAAGTATTTCGTGTTGTAGCACTTCCGGGTTTTGCCTGCGTATAAATTCCCGTATTATGCGGGTCCATATTATAACCAATGCGTTTCACATGTAAGTTTATTCTCTTTAGCCACTACGATCTATTTCTTTTGATAACCTCAAATTTTGTTCATTCTCAATAGGTTTTAATTGTTCTAAAACTTAGGCTCTACCTCCTCGTGGTGTTCCGGGAAGCAGTGCCGTCGGAACCCCAACCCAACCGGCACTTCCTCCGAGGACCGACGCAGGACCCTCTCCCGAACTGGTGCAATACCTCAACAATCCAGTGCTCGCTCCACTGGCACAGGACCTTATTAACCTTGAAAAGTAAGACAATCGCTCATATTATGCTGTCATAAAAAGCATGAATAACCGGTTGTTGCGTGTTAAATGAATTGCTCATTTTTCCGCATCTGTTAACGGTGACGAAAAACGATTATTTTTATTTCTGTTCAAGGTGCACAAGGAATAGCTCAAATTACGCAAGACGCAAACATATTCCTTATTAACATGATTATAAAATATTTGGGTGTGTCAAACGATTAGTAAATTAGCCAAGCGTAGAGTATTATTACGATGAATTTTTTTAAACCTTAGTCGCAAATAAAAGTGCTCAAATTGGTGGCACTTGGTATATTTCAGCACAATCTATCTATTATATATTTAAATGCGGGCTTCACTATCTCGCCATGTTTAAGCTTTTTCAACGTAATATTTTTGCATGTTTAAGCTATATCGTATATTGCAATGGTTAAGAATTTTTTCGATTTTTTCCAATTTGATTTTAGTGGTTGTTTTACCGAGTTCAAATTAAGCAGCCCAATATCGAATTAGGGGTTGCAAATTTGGCCTCCAATTTTGAATGACCGAATCATTTTAGTTAACGAGATAAGAAGATTTTTGAGATTTTTTCAAAAGTTTTCAGAAATTTCAAATAACAAAATAATTTACAAAATTTGAAGTTCCCAACCCTGTAGTTGGGTGCTGTCAGATTACTCTAGGGAGTTACAAATCTTGCCTCCGAATATGACTGTTCAAATCCTTGTAGTTTTCGAGATATGACGTTTTTTGAGATTTTTTCAAAAGTGGTTATTGGTGGTTATTTTACCGAGTTTAAATTAAGCAGCCCAATATCGAATTAGGGGTTGCAAATTTGGCCTCCAATTTTGAATGACCGAATCATTTTAGTTAACGAGATAAGAAGATTTTTGAGATTTTTTCAAAAGTTTTCAGAAATTTCAAATAACAAAATAATTTACAAAATTTGAAGTTCCCAACCCTGTAGTTGGGTGCTGTCAGATTACTCTAGGGAGTTACAAATCTTGCCTCCGAATATGACTGTTCAAATCCTTGTAGTTTTCGAGATATGACGTTTTTTGTGATTTTTTTCAAATTTTTCAGAAAACTGAAATTTTTAATATTTTTTAGAAGTCTGAAATTCCCAACTCTGTAGTTGGGTACTGTCAGAGTACTATCAAGGATCGCGAATCTTGCCTCCAAATATGACTGCTCAAATCCTTGTAGTTTTCGAGATATGATGTTTTTTGTGATTTTTTCCAAATTTTTCAGAAAACTTTTATTTTCTAAAAATCTGAAATTCCCAACCCTGTAATTGGGTGTCGTCAGAGTAAACTAAAAATTTGCTGATGTTGTTTCAATATATGCGGTTTTTCATGAGTTGTGGAAAAATTTCGAAGCACCGAAGGTGCGTTAAACGCTAGTCATATTTAAGCGAAATTAAGCATAAAAAATTTAATGGCATATGTTGCTGCTTTTTTGGCTAGTGTTAGGTCCCCTTTGAAGAAATTATCTATTATGAAAATGTAGGGGATTTCTTGTTTTTCGTTTTTTCTTGCGACGCTTTGGGAAATTTTTGCGCTTTTCGCAGAAATTTCAATTTTTCTCAAAAACTATTGCAGTGGTTTTCAAAAAATGGTACCAATGGAAAAACCGGCTGCTCTTCTATGTGCCTGAATATTTGGCTAGTATGTTTTCATTTTACCTCACGTTCTACGGCGTTCGAAGTTTTCAGTAGGGTGATTTTTGGCCTATTTGTTTTGAGTTTTTTCATTTTCTCAAAAATTAAATGCACAAATCTGAGATAAACGTTTCAATCAAAAAACAGCTTAAGGGAATCTCCCCTTCTCAAGCGAATTTTCCTTAAATTCGGTAGAAAAAAAAGTTATGGCCTCAAACAAGCTCATTTTTTGACATTTTGGTTAATTTTATTTTTTTTTTACTTTTTTTCAAAACTACCCGGTCAAATCGGAGATTAAGGGTTTAACCGAAGGAAAAAATCAGTTATGCGAATATTACCTGCGCAAGCGGCTTCATTGCGATTTGAAAAACAAAATGGCCTTAGAATTTTTTTTAACCCTTTTTGCTCGTCCAATTTTTGAAATTTTGCTCGTTTTTTGCAAAGTTATTCTTCGTATTCAAAAACTAATGTGCTGAGGTTGATAGTTCATTAAAACTAATATTGTGCTTCAATTTTCCACGCGTAAACTGTTTACGCTGTATTGTTGTAGAAAAGCTGATATGAGCTTTAGAAAAATCCCTGTTAAAATTTTTACCGCTTCTTTGTCACTATTCTCGAAAACTATTGGCTAAGTCTGATATAAAAAGTTCAATCTGCAAAATCAGGATGCCGAAATTGTCAATCTAAAAATCAAGGTGTGGAAAGCGGAGGCTATTCCAATGCGTTAGCAGATTATAGTTCATGAATTTAGGAAAAATCAAATTTTTGATTTTTTTGATCGATTTTTGGAATATTTTCCGCTTTTTTTTCTGCCTACCCAGCCAAGTTTGAGATAAAGAGTTCAATGGAAAGAGCGAATTGTATTTTTCGCCTTTAAATTAGTGGTTAATTCTACACTGGAACAGGTAGATCCATCATTAGCTGGGTCACTAATCTACTTCCAAGCGAATGTGGCGAGGACGTGAGACTCCTGATCAACTGGTCGGATATTCAAATCTGGAACTTTAAAGTATTTTTTGGTAGAATTTTTGCTGCTTAACATTGGCAATTTGATAAAACTGTAGGTGCTTTATTGGTGGCTAGTGTTTGTTAAATTACAAGCAGTCGTGAAGCAGATGTGAGCTTCTGATACTCCTAATCTCAACGAACTTTCGATCACGTGTACTGATGTTATTTAGGGAAAAATCTGACCAGACCAGGTCTTTGGAGGATAAAAAAATGAAGTACTCGCAATTAAATGTGAACAACGAAAGGACGAACTTAGAACTGCGACAATTAACACTGTCTGTTCGGGTATCAGAGGAAGAAGCGACCCAAGCTGGAGCGAAGCTAGATCAGCTGGAGATGGAAATCAGGAGGTTCGAGGACAAGATATCCCAGGTGCAGGCAGAGTGCATGAAACAGGCTAAGGAGATAGAGGATCTGGGAAAGAACATCCGACAGAACGGAGAGGATGTACAGGTGTGTTTTATTGAGTGTCAATCAACGAACTGAAGACACTTAATTAGGTCGTGATGTTTTTTTTTCAGTCAGAATTCTTCATACAAGCGAAGCGCAGTGTTTTATTACGAAGATAAAAATCTAATAAGCTTAATCGCAAATAAAAGTGCTCATATGGTAGCACTTTTGGTATACTTCAATTTAACAATATTTCAGCATAAACAATTCATCATTGACATATGTTTCTGCTTTATTTTTGGCTAGTGGTAGGTCCTGTTTGAAAAAAAACTTGTAATATGAAAATGGATGGGATTTGTTGTATTTCGTTTTTTTTTGCCACGATTTGGAATTTTTTTCATTTTGTTTTGCCTGTTTAGGGCTCTTTTCTGCATTTTCCTTGCTTGTTTTTGCAAAGCGCAGCTTCGCCTCTTTGTTCATACTCGAATTTGATTTTGTTATACGAGATAGTTTTTATTCATGAAATTCAAATTTCGCCCACTAATATGCAGTTTCACCTGAATTAATGTAGTAGCAAAAATATTAATTTGCTCTGCCTTGAATCTTTCTTTTTTTTTCAGAAAAAGCAGGAAGAACTTAAGAAAGCGGAGGCAGAATTGAGTCAGTTGTTGAACGAGGAGCGAATGTTAGAACAGCAGTTGAAGGATTCTAAGGAGCAACTCAATTCGGACCTCAACTCACAGCAGCTCAAACTCATGGAGGAACTGAACCAGGTTGCGATCATCGGTTACTATAATGATGATGATTTTCATTACAACAATACTATAATGATGATGATTTTCATTACAACAATACTATAATGATGATGATTTTCATTACAACAATACACAATGTCTTTAACACCTACGATGCTACCAGTCGGAAGATCCATCAAATAATCGTTCTATTTTAGTGTAAATCGAAGCTGGCCACTTTAGGAATTCCGTACGAGAGCAAGATCTCTTTAACAGTAAGTCAAAATTTAGTTCAGTCTTTATCAGCTAGCTATATAGTCTTTTTCAATTATGCAGCGGTTTCATTTATGCTTTAATCAGCGGTTCTCATGAATATGTATATGTATATATATTAAAATATGTTTATATATATATATATATATTTTTTTATAAATTCTAAAGTTTTTTCATACGTTTCGGTTTCCTTGTTCTTTCACAATTTTCTAAACCGTTGTTGGCTGTTGTATTTATTTGTTTTTTAACATGCTTGAGGCGACCAAGACCCGGCTTTCGACACCGGGCGGGTTTTTTATTTTTCATAATGTTCGTTTATAAGAACGATTTTTTTCAGGCTATGTTGAGCGTGCTTACTTTTTTCGACTTGAAAGTTTGTTCGACTGTAGTAATTTTTGTTTATGCTAAATTAGCGTAGCTGCCGTGTATTGCGTCACTTAATAGGCAAAAAAAAATTATTTGGTTCGTGTTTTTCCGGGAGGGACCTAAAACCAAACTTCTGATTTCAAAGTTTTTCATAGTCCAATTCCATGTCTAGGCCAAACTGTTCACTGGATAGGCGCAAAATTTGGTATGTGTAGGTATCTGGAATCCAGAGACAATACTTAAAACATGTTCAAATTTTGTCGGAACAATAAAAGAAAATGGAAAAACAAAAGAAGAATGAACGAGCGTATTTGTTGCGGAATCCGCTTATAATTCATAAAATGCCAAGTTTGGCCTCGTTATGTTTTTTCCGGCTAAACGGGCGTCTACCCAAAATAGTTGGCTTAGTTACCGCTTGGTACATTTTGTCGCAATGCTCATCCAACGATGGCAGTTGTCTTTCATACATAGTTCTCAAATTGAACATCAATCAAGACTTCTGAGATAGCTTTTGAAAAAAGTTTAAATAATTGAATATTCTCACCGCTTCCTCTCGATGCAATTTTTCTTCAAAAATCGAAAGCTTAAAAATGTGCAAAAGTAAGTCAATGACTTTGTTTTTCAATTTTATTGTTCATTTACACGTTTTTACTCTTGTGAAGCGAGTGTATTAGTACAAACCTTTTTTTGCCAACCAAAGTGGCACCAATAAGTCGCAAATATTGGTGCCACTTTTGGGGCACCTTTTACAGCTTTTTCATAGTATGTACTTTCACCATACTGACCACTTTGGTCACTCATGAGTGACCAGTCACTTTTGGTTACATTTTGGTCACTCTTTGTCTCAAAGTCACCTTTCTAAAATGTTAACCTACGGAATTGCCCCGTGGGTCATGAACCAACTCAGAAATCAGCTTATTATGAAACGTTATGCCCTGCATCTAGACGAGACAACTTAAAATGGGAAAATTCGCATTGAATTTTGGATATCCTATGTTGTTTTCGACAAAGAAAACTTCTCGTTACCTTTGTCATCGAACAACTTTTTTAGTTTAATTACAGCTAAATTAAGTTTTTTTGACCGCCTTGAATGTTTTTTTTGTTTGAGTGTTGGAGAGCGAAGGTCACTTTTGGTCACTTTTTTATGTGGTTTTGGTCACTTTTTACAAAATTGTGATGGTCACTTTTTACTCTTTCACCATGTGGTCAGTCTGACTTTGACATTCGATTACTAATAAGTATTGCAGTTGATGCTTTTTTAATTCATCAAATGTGCCGAAAAAAGTGATTTGTTTCAAACAACATAACGACAAGGAAAACTCGATTTTGAAATGCATAGTTTATAGATAATTTGGCTTTATGCTTTGCGATTTGTTACATGCATAGTTTGTGTGGATGCCATCAGTTTATTGTATTCCAAATTATTACTTGCAAAGTTGAGTCTATTTGTATTTAGTGCCACTTTTGCTGAATTGCTTTGGCAATTGATTGGCATATGTAGCTGCTTTATTCGTGACTGGTGTTTTTCGATTGTTACGCTTGCGTGGCTGCGGGGATAGTGCGTGAGACTCAATCTATTATATATTTAAATGGGGGCTTCACTATCTCGCCATGTTTAAGCTTTTTCAACGTATTATTTTTGCATGTTTAAGCTTTATCGTATATTGCAATGGTTAAGAATTTTTTTTCGATTTTCTAATTTGATTTTAGTGGTTATTTTACGAGTTTAAATTAAGCAGTCCAATATCGAATTAGGGGTTGCGAATTTGGCCTCCAATTTTGAATGCCCGAATCATTTTAGTTAACTAGATAAGACAATTTTTGAGATTTTTTCAAAAATTTTCAGAAATTTCAAATAAAATAATTTACAAAACTGGAAGTTCCCAACCCTGTAGTTGGGTACTGTCAGAGTACTCTAAGGGATTACAAACCTTGCCTCCAAATATGACTGTTCAAATTGTTGTAGTTTTCGAGATATGACGTTTTTTGTGATTTTTTCAAAAATTTTCAGAAAACTTAAATTCTTATTAGTTTTTTAAAAATCTGAAATACCCAACCCTGTAGTTAGGTCCTGTCAGAGTACTCTCAAAGATTGCGAATCTTGTCTCCAAATATGACCTCTCAATTTTTTGTAGTTTTCGAGATATGACGTTTTTTCTTATTTCGCTTGATAGCTCCTTTTTGGTCGTGTTCTCGCAAGTGTATGCGAAGCTCAGATTCGCATCGGTGTTAACTGTTGGTTAGTTATGTTGTTGCAGCCTGTACAATTCATTTTAAAAACAATTTAACGGACCTGGATGACCGTAAAGATGTGTAAAACAGTACCTTTGTCCTTAACATCGTAGATAAATGCTTTTCATTCTGGCTTTCTTGAATCCGTTTTTTAATATACCCGCACAGATACTGTTGTTGAAAGCTACCGCACAGATATTGTTGTTTAAAGGTAATTGTTTTAGAACGGAACCAGTGAATTCGACGACCCCTTCGCCAATCAAGATCCATTTTCTCAACCAGGTCGGTAAAGACTTCTGTCATCATTTTCTATTAGTTTCTTTTTTAAAACGCTAATTGCATTAGCTTAGCGGTGTGCGTGGTAGTAGTTTTCTGAATTGAACCTGGTTTTCAGAGAGCTTCAGTGAAAGTAACTACAGCGCCGCAGCAGCGTTTTAGTGTTCTCGAAGATCCCTTTTCTATCAGACACATAAATGCTGCTGTGCAGCTTAGTGTGAAATTGAATGGTTTGGGCACCACTTAAGCTGAAACTTTCTTATTGTCATTGCTCCAAATTGTTTGACAGATTTGTCCGATTGTTTGGATTTGATGTACTTTTCCTCAAAAATAAGTCGGTTATTTTTTGTATCTATGAACTTGATAAATTGATCTAAATAAAAATTTACACACGATTTTTCTTAAATACAACATAGTTATTTGAAGCTTATTTTTTACATCGTTAAATTTTTGTTATCACCTAAAAAGCAATCTACCCCAAATTCGTCACTGCAATACCACTTTTCAATCAACGCAATGAGTCACGATTAAAACTTAATTATATCCGTAGAATCATCATTTGACCGACATATTAGTAATTTTTGCGATTGGAAATGTCATTTTCAGCCATACGCTTATTTTTGATAAAATCTTTCTTTGTGATTTAATTTATTAGAGACAGTCTTACAATGTTAACGATAAGGTTTCGGCTGATAGCTTATTTTTTGTCATACATGAATAATTTGGAGCCATAATAGTATTTGTGAGTAAAACATGCAGAAAAAAAAAGTAAATTTTGCCAGACTAATGTGTAGAAAGATGTTTCCATATATGTAGAAAACAAAGTAAATTTTACCCGATTAAGATGCAAAAAGATATTTCAATATATGTAGAGAAGAAAGTAAATTTTACCAGACTGGGGGTGTAGAAAGATGTTATCATATATGTAGAAAACAAAGTAAGTTGTACTAGCCTGTGGTGTAGAAAGTTGTTGCTTTATATGTAGAAAAGAAATAAATTAAACTAGACTAAGACTTAGAAAGATGTTTCGATATATAGAAAACGAATGTGGCACGTTTTGCCACTAGAACATTTAGCCCCACATTTAGAAGAAATTAGGGGCGAAATGTGTGTAGACAGTTGAAAACAAAGTAACTTTTACCAGATCATGGCGTAGAAAATTGTTTCCATTTATAGTGTTTGTAGAGAGTTATTGCATCATCTCTCATACAGTTCTTCGTTTTCAGATGCAGATTTTAAGGATCCTTTTGCCGCCAATGATGACCCTTTTAAGTCTTCACTAGACTTCGGATCAGGATTCAGTAGCAGCAGCCAGAAGTCAGGTGAAATTTGAAAGTCTCTCGAATAAATGACCCATGATTTCTCCATGCATAATGAGTCTCGTAATTACTCTTGCGATAAGCAAGGTTTTTGCACTCGGGTACTATACTTTTTCTTTGTACATAACTTTGGTCACAGAATGGTCAATTTAAGTTTCAAGACATGCTCAATTACTTGAAAATTCGAATAAAAGTACCTCAACTAGGTAGCTAAGTTAATAGGTGGAGTAGGTGTAGGGCAGTAATTATTTTTTCAAATAAAATTATTGAAAAATGTTGATTTTTTCCGGATTCGTGGTTTTCGGCTTAGTTTCTCCGGTTAATTTTCCGTTTTTTAAATATAATTTTGATTATTTGCTAAGTATTCTTATCAACCTAGTTTGTAAAGCATGGATTTTTTTCGATTGGATATTTTTATACTATAATTCAAAGTCTGATGTGAATTACTTTTTTTCGACTCCATGGTTTCAGCTGATGGTGCATCGGCGTAGTCAACTTATATTTCGTAATATCGACGGCAAAAAATTCCTGTTCGACAACATCAGGTATTATGAAAATAGATGGGATAGGGCTTTTTTTTATAAACTTTTTGAGACGCTATCAATTTTTTTCTTATTTTAACAAAAGTTATAGTTAAATTCCTCCGAAATTCAAATAAAGCGTATCCATGAAAAGCGCCTACTCCCTGTGTGCCTGCAGCGCTCGAAAAAGTCTCTGGGAGAATGTTTGAGCAATATTTTTGGATTTTTTTGTTTTCTCAAAAAGCTACTCTCCGAAACTTGAGATTTTGAGTTCAATGGATAGAACGCGTTATGGGAAGCTCAACTGCATAGCGGCTAAGTCCAAATTTTTTAAAAATTTGTCAATAATTGGTTTTTGGGCCCTCAGAAAAGTCAATAATTGGTTTTTGTACTGTCTTCAGAAACTATTTGACTTTTTTCGAAAACGAAACTCTTAAATCATGAGTATTTCCGTTCAATCGAAACAACAGATTGTGTGAATCTCGTCTTTTTAAGGGACTAAGCCCAATTATTTATACACAAAAAGGTATGGTTCGCGGAACATACAAATGTTGACCACTTTTGACTTATCTCGAAAATTACCTTGCCAATTTTCAGGTTAATTTTTCAGGTTCAATCGAGAAACCCGGTTTTGGCAATTTTCATTGTTTGAGCGGCCCCGACCGTCTCATTGTAGAAAAAATTATTTATTTTGGTAAGTCAAGTTATTGAACTTTTGACCGTTTTTAGCAACTTTTTATTGATTTTCATAGAAACTATCCTTTCAAGTTTGAGATCAAGGTTTCAATCAAAAGAACCGGTTACTCATTAATTTTTGTGAGGAAAGTTTTATGTGTTTGGGAAGATAACAATTTCTCAAAAATTTTCACTCCTCTCACTTATTTTAGTAGAGAAGCAACTAAGGTTTCGGGCTAAGTTCAATTTTTGAAATTACCTATTTCATCAGCATAAGTAATACAAATTCCAAAAATATCAAGCAGTTACCTCCAAGTTTTACTGGGCCCCTAGTTTTTTTTTATTGGGTATATGAATGTTTTGCTTTCTTTAGTTTTTTTCAACATATTTCTTCTTTCCGATTTATTATGTTGTGTTTTATGTTTGTGTTGCATCGCAAGTGGCGCGAAGCTCAGCTTTGCCTGTGTTGAAATTGTGAGAATTAAAATTATAAATTACTTAAGTGCTAAAATTAAACAGCATCTTCATTTCTGCTTTCAGCTCCTAGCCGCCCACCTCCTCCGTCCAGGCCTCCGCCACCGTCTTCTGCATCCAAATCCAATACAGTTTCATCTGCTGTAATCTCGGATCCGTTTGGCGCTCCTTCAACTTTCACCAGCACTGAAACTGCATCTGTAGCCAGCAATGATCCATTTGGTACTAACTTCGCAGCTGATTTCTCATCTAATAGCCAAGCACAATTCGACTCAACTTTAACCTCTAAAGACCCCTTTGGAACTCCGAATACATTCGCAACCACTTCGGCCGATAATGCCTCTTCCTTTCAATCAGCGGGAAGCAAAGATCCATTCTCAAATGATCCATTTGGAGCACCTCCCGCGGTTACCGCGGACCCTTTTGGCTTATCTTCGGGAACATCTGATCCTTTTGCTGCAACATCAGATCCCTTTGCAACGCCTGCAATCTCAAATGTAGCGCCAGCAAGTTCCGTGTTTTCGTCTGATCCATTTGGAGCTCCAGCTTTTCCAACATCCGGACCTAGTAGTTATGCAGAGTTGTCTGCCGAAAAGTCCAGCAGTGATGCATTTGGGTTTGAAACTACAGAAAATTTTGGAGCGGCTTCATCAGAACCTTCGATCCGGATTGCTCAGAATGGAACGCAGCTCGAAGCAAACGCATCGACAAGTAACCAAGATGTATACGACGAACTAACTGAATATGCAGCTGTATCAAGTGAATCTACAACTGTTACAGATGGTCCTAAAAGTCTAGACTGGTTTCTAGTCGGATCTCCCAAAGAGAAAGCGAACTCTTCTATGAACACTTTTGGCACAAGTGAACACAATTTGAACATGGTCAGTTCTGTATATGTTGACATGCAGAACAATCATAAAACGTGAAACATTCCTGGAAAGTTTTTCATTTGGTGAAGGGCGGATTTTGTATTGTTTAATTTTAAATATGATTTTTATGAAAAGTGTTTTTCCAGATTTTTTCTCATTTTACTAACTTTCGTGTTCTTTTCTAATCGTATGTGTAATTTTCCAGGGCTCAAAGTCTGTCGAAGCATTGACTAACCAAAATTTTTGGGATCCCAGTTCTGTGTCCTCTAATCCGGTTGCAACAGTGACCGATCCATTTGTCAGTGAGACTGCTAAAGATCTCTTCTCAATTCAAACTAATTCTTCTACCTCTAACATTGTTGACGGGAACGCTAACAAACACGAAAGTAATGAAGAGCTCAAATCACACTCAGCTTCAAATTCTTGTGACGATGCAAATAGTGAAGCGCTGGATGATGACTCGATAGGATCTGTCGCTCCCCCTGAGATCCAGATCACTTCAGTTCCGACAGTTGACCAAACAGCCTCGGATTACGAGCCCGAGGAGTTTGATCCCGCAACTGCAACCCCAAAAGCCGACTCTGATTCTCCGCCGGAACCGGCAACACCCACTGAAGAAGGGCGTAATATAGAAATTGTGCAGTCATTTTATGAAGCATGTTCGTTTTCTGAAGCTGCGAAGACTGCTGAAAGACCAGAAAACAATCAAGACTACGAAACTGAGGCTAAACCAGCTTTAGATAGTTCATCTGTAGTTCACGATTCAGCAAATGATTCGTTCACAAACGAAAGCGGAAAGTCGGAAGCTTACCCATCTATAGGAGACAGTTTTGTAATGGTCAACCCAGGTGATGTAACACATAGTTCACCGAACGCAAATGAGAATACCGCTATTAGTGAGGAGACAAGTAAATCGGAGGAGCCTGGAACATCTTCTATAAGGCCAAGCATCGAATTAGATGAATCTAGCACAGAGTATGAGTACCAGGTGTCACTCTCCAATGAACAGGTGATTTTGCGAATAAACTCGATTCTAATTTATTGCTTCGGTGAAATAAAACTTAAAAAACAGTCTAAATTAAAGTTTATATTGTCATAATCTTTTGCTTAAAATGTATGTAAACTTGTAATTCTGTTTACAGCAAATAGATGACCCATTCACATCGTCGGCTGTAAAGCATTTTGAAGCGGAAGAGGGATTTAAAATGAGCGATCCAATCAGCGAAGAATTGCAAAATGGCAGCTTAAATCCAGTTGAAGGCGAATCCAGCTTGCCAAAGTCATCATTTAACGAAGACCAGATTAAACTAGGCACTAATGAAGTGTTTAATTCTGCCTTGGGATCCCAATCCGCGGAGGATCCTGACTTTAACATTCCATTTTCATCGGACATTCAATCGAACGACGGCGTCTCAGAACCGGCGGATGTTGCAATCGTTAAGTCTGATGACGCAGACCCCTTTGGCGCCCAAGAGTTTGAACCCTCAAAGATGACTCAATCGTTATCCCCTTGTGATGATGGCTTCGGTGATGCGTTTGGAGGAACCAATGACATCGGCAACTTGAACTCAACAACGCCTCCCGATGGTGGTTTTCCCAGCTCGGCGGATTTTGACTATCAGTTTGGAAGCTAACAACTTGAGAATTTATTTAGTACTATATATGCTGCACGTAATTGAAGATTAGGTAACATAGCCCTGTATCCACTGCTAAACCACAAAACTGCATTGATTGAATCCTAATTTAGAACTAGATATCCGAAGCCTTAAAAGCAAAATGTTACCGTCGTTATAAAAAAATATATAGATATGTATACCTTATAAAATATTACACCCCACGATTGTGCGTATACTTTAGAGCTAGTAGGAGATTGTTGTTTTTGTTAAAAATAGGTATGTTACTAGTTTCAATTTTGGTCTGAATCATTTAGATCTGATGTATACTTCAAAATACTGATAATTCACTAATAATGCCAATAAACTGTTATACTACTTCTAATTGACCAATTCAAATGGTCTAGAATGCGAAAATGCGACCCATAACCTATGACTTTTGATGAATCTTGGCAGTGATTGTATAAGTTATAATCCAACAATTATTTACCTTAACAGTAAGTGAAGCTAATTAAGAACAATAGTGTTCATATGACACAAGTATGGAAATTTAGAAATTTGTATTTATAATTCACATTTTATTTGAGCGAAATTTTCACCTTCAAATAATTTAATCTTTCTTCGCAGTTTTCTGAGACAGTTAGGAGGGACCATTTTTAAGTGTTAATGAACGAAATGCTGTATAACTTAAAGCTTGTAGTTGTTTCGATCATTGAGAATGGGAAGGAAATTTGTATTCGGGTGTGTTCTGGTGTTTTTATTTTTTTCCACTCGTAATCATGTATCACAACTAATCATCGGACTATCTTGAGTAATATATCATATTACAGCCTTTTCAGTGATAAGTTGAACCGCATTAGAAAAAAGTGTCGAGAAAAACCGGTTCGAAATGTTTTTTTTTTTCGTCCAATTTCGAGCAAGTTAAGCGAACCAGTAAGCTTATTATAGAAGGATGGTCGTAGACGCAGGTTAGTCGTAAATAAGCCATGATTTTTTTATTCAAGCCCTGAAAAATGTATTAAATTAAGTTTCCAAAGTTTTTATACGCCATTTTGCAGATAAGAAAAATTTAAATTTTTGTATTTGTTTTATTCATGTTAGTCATTTTTCCTAGAAAACTGTTTTCCAATACACCTATTTTACTGTGAATATCGGAAATGCCCAAAATCTAGTGTTTCGTTCAGATCCTAAAAAATTGAAATAGATTTTAAAAGAATTCTGTTTTTTTTTGTAGTTTTTAAGAATATGGTCCGAATATTCCGTGCTATTTGCGCAGCAACCTGTTATCCTTGATTATTTCTGTTGTTTTCAGAAAAATTGATCGGGCTCAATTTTCATGATTTGCTGTTTGACTTCATTTTTTGTTAAGTCTACTATTGCTGTATTTTTGTTATTGCTGGTTGACTTAGTTATTCAGATTTTTGTTACTCAAAGCTTACTTTGCTTTTAGTTGTAGAAATAGACTTCAATTTTAAGAATTAACAGCAGAATGAGAAATTATCTGTTGACCGATTTTTTTTAATTTGACTGCTTTGATGAAAAAAGTGTAGAGTGTAGGCGATTCTTGAAACTTAGTCTGTTGGTTGTCTTACACTAATTTTTAAGGAAAGTTATCACTTTACCTGAAAGTATTTTGCCAAGTTCTTGAACATTTTAATTTTCTGTATATTTTTAGAAGCGAAGCCGCGGCTCTTGAAAATTGAACCAGGTAATAAGAGTAGATACTCTTGAAGTTTTGTAATTACCTAATCTACTGTTTGTGGGTTCGAATCTGACCAGGATCTGTTTTTCAGAGTGGAAATATTCTGTTTAAAATAAAATTGTAGGCCAATTACTAAAAAACTTGGAATCGTTTTTTGCGCGTATTTTTTTTGATGTTGCTTTTGGTGTCGATTTACTCCTACAATTATTAATTTTACATACCTTGATATCGTATTTCTTGGTTTTTTGGTTCCGCTAAAAAATTTCCTTTTTATCGGCTCAATAACTTAAAAATTTTGGTTTTTCTCAGAAACTTTGGCTGGTTTTGACAAAAGGGTATCAATTGATGGACAGCCTACTCTCATGTGTGCCTGCATGCTACCTTCGAGTTCCTTTCTACTTGATTCCTCTGTCTACAGCCTTCGAAAAAGTCTGTGGGTGTCTCGAGAACTAGCCTCCCAAATCTGAGATTTTGGGTAATCGAAATAACAGATTTCGTGAATCTCCTTTGTCACACAAAAAGCTATGACGTTCGATTTGTTGACCGTTTTTGGACTTTTATCGCTTACTATCTTGCCAAATCTGATATCATAAGTTAAATCGAAACAACAGGTTGTTGAAAGCATAGCTTTATAACTGGCTAGGCTCAGTTAGTTTAAGAAAAAATATATAGGCCTTCAAATAAGACAGTTTTGAAAACTACCAAGCCAATTCTCAGATTTCTTTCAACCGGTATGGGATTTTTTTTTGCTTAAGGAGTTTTTGGGAATTTTTCGGCCATAATCTGTTTTTTTTTGGTATGGATTTTAGAAAGCCTTTTGACCGTTTTTTAGAAATTTTGACCGTTTTCTGAAACTTATTGAATTTTTGAAGTTTACACAATCAAATATGTGATGAAAAGTTTAATTGAAATAACCGGTAGCGATAATTGTTCATGAAGAAGCGGCGACTTCTTGTTTTTTGTTTAAAAAATGTTTTCTGGGGGAATTTGATTATCTCAGAATTTTTTCGCACTCTTTTTTCTGGAAAAACACCAAGGTTTTGGGCAAATCCAATTTTTGAAATCACATTTTTCGTACCTCATCGATATAGAAAACTCATTCAAAATAAAACACGTGCTTCCAGCTTTAGCTGGAGCACGTAGTTGTTTTAACGATACATACGAAAGTTTTGGTTCACCTAGTTTTTTTCACATTTAAATTGTTTTGACTTATGTTTTGTTTGTTGTATCGCTAGTGGCGCGAAGCTCCTTCGCCTCTGTGTTTTGATACATAGCTTTGGCATTGCTCTAGCTATTTTATTGGTGGCTACTGTTAGTTAACTTTTAATCTCCCACGGTGCAGATGCGAGGACTTGAGACGTCTAACTCGAAGTCGAAGTTTCGAATCCGACACATTGTAAATTTTTTTTAATAAGGCTTATTTCTTTTCTGTTTCTAGTTTTACTTTTTAGAGTGCTTTTTATCATTTTCTCGATTGTGTTTTTCAAGTTTTTTGATTGAACAACTTTGGTGTTAGATTTTTTGGCGTTGTTTGATAAAAAAAAATGTCGATTCTTGCTACTTGTAATCATGTTAACAATTTTTTTTTTCAAATCTAAGAAATTGGATTTGCTTTTTTATGGAATCTCAACAATTTCCCAGCCCTTTTCCTCTTATAGTAATGAAGCGCGTCCTTTTGGTTTTTAATGCCTGGAGGTGGGACCCGACCGGAAATTTTTGGGATTTTTTTCTCGGACTGTTGAATTAAATTCAAATTATGGATTGTTTTCTTAGAATTGAAAGTCATTCTGTAATATGTAATATTGACAATCTCATTTTGAATAAGTTTCTTGATATTTTTTTTCACTCAAATAGATTTAGCTTCTTTCATATGATCGTTGCAATCTTATAATTTGCCGTTTGAAGAAAAGTCATATTTAATGTTTTTACTGGTGCGATCAGCAATGGTGTAGCAATCGTGTTCTTGGCTTTTTCCCCGTGAGTTACTTTGTCCAATTTGTAAATTTAGGAGTAACGGTAAATTTACTTATGTGGATAAAGATGGTTGGTTTTGCTATGTGATACCTACATTTATTGCTTAAGAAGGGTAAGTTAGTAGTGTGTGCTACATGCAATTTTTTGTAGTGTTTTTCCTGTCGAATGTTTGGATGATTTTCAACTTGTAAGTTGACAGCTTTATTTCTGTCGGCATATTGTTTTTCTTAAAGTTTTCGGCCTTTTTTAAAATCAATTCACCTTGGAAATTTTATTTTCAACATTTTGTATTCAACTTTGGTGACTCCCTTCAAAGAATTTACCAAAAAACAGTAAAACATTTCAATTGTTTCTCGTTTTTACACAGTTACTTTTGTATGAAAATTTAATCGATACTTGCGAGTGGAATGCTGTATTTTTATTGTAATTTGCGGTGAAGATAATTGAAATGATGAGTTTTAGGGCAATTTTCTTGATATAATTTTCGATCAGTTTTTCTTCAACTGATTTTTCATACCGATTTGAGTGATTTGTCGTCATATTTCATGCAGTGACAACTGTTTTCGGCAATAGATACGGATTTAGACAGTCTTAATTGCTATCAGATTTGGCGAAATGTTATTGCTAATTTGGCAAGCTTATCGTGTTGAAATGTCAAATTTTTCTATGTGCTCTGTAATAGTCTTTTTATTTTTCTCTTTTTTGAGCAGTGTGATTTTTGTTTATGTGTCTCGTTTTTACCCTGCTAGCATTTCTGTTAGTGAAGAATAATTTGAAATAGCTGTCTGTTTTCTCGACCCACGGCTTGCTAATTTTTTGTCTGTTTTTTTTTGGGCTTCTTTAGTTTTAAAAAATTGGTGTGCTAGTTATTCTATTTATCGTGAATAAATCCAAGGTAATGATGCATAAAGTTTCAGAAATATCGCGTAATTTTTTCACTAAAAAAGCCCAAAGTTACTTCGTTAATGTTCTGCTTTTCTGAAACTCCCACTCTCGGACTATCGTGTATCTAATTATGCCGACGGCTGAGTTTTTTCAGCACGCTTTTTGATCTATTTCTGACGATGGTTGAAGGATGCTTTATTTGAATGCCAACTAATTAATTTATTTACCTTTTGCGATAGCAAGCGTAATGCAGTCGGGTACTCGACTCTTTTTTTTGCCAGCTGATTTTTTTCGGCTTAGTTTCAACAGCATGGAATTTTTCTGATTTAAACAATTTATACTATTGTTGAAAGTAATTTTGATTTATTCCTGGAATTGGGTGCAGGTTATTTCACTCAGTTATTTGAATTTTTTTTTCATGTTCTAGGATTTGAGAACTATTGTTTGAATATTTTGTTTTTTCCTTGATTTTTGCTTAGTCAGAAAAACGGAAACATGAAATTGTTGCGGTTTTTCAAGTAATTATTTTTTATTATAATTTTTTCAATTTTTTTGTTATTCCATAGAGTATACTTACATATCGCAATGCTGCGAGGCGCCGTTTCACCTCTTTGCGAAAAAATCTCCACTGAATTATCATTTTTCAGTTCTAATATGGTCGAGGAAGTGAATGTAAATCTTAGACCGAACCATGTGCTGTTGGACCCGAACTTCGACGGATACAAAATAAATTTGGAACGTTTGGCTCCAATATCGAAAGACATCACTTGTCCTGTTTACCACGCAGATCTCAGTCAAGTAACTTCTTATAACGAATCAAAGCAACTGATGTTATTTAATTGCCTATTCGAAGATCGATTTAGTTTTGAAAAAGTTTACTATATTGACCAAAAACTGAAGGTACACGAGTTCTATTTAGTTTTTGGAGAGTTTCATGATAATATTGTTGCTGAAGTTTTTGTGTCCATTACAAGTACGGTAGCTTATTACCCAGCTATTTCGTTTTCTTCTAAGAATCTGGCAGTTATCTATAATGGTCAATCTGTCATAACCTTTTTCGATACTGGTGACAGAAGTTCATCTGAAACAAACGAAGTACAAAAGTGGAAATTAATTGGAACTTATGATTGCGAAACTTCATTGTCTCTGTTTTATTCAATCGGTAATGCGGTTCCTGGAAATGAAGAAAGGTTCGATTTTACTGTCGTTACCGCCGAAAGTATATCCATGAACGAGGAGGAAGGTTTTGGCGACCAGTCTCCTAAAGTTGAACTAATAGTAAGAAAGTTAATCATCGATATGGCTAATCAAAATGCTGCGAAACAAATGGGTAAAGTACAATTTAATGGAAAAGAATACCCAGAAACAGCATTCCTGAACAAAGATGGCACGCTGCTTCAAATAGTTGGTGTCCGAGAATTCAAACCTAATAATGATATCAGCAATGCAAAGAATGCTGTCAGAAAAGACCTGAAAATTATTTGTTCGCAGAATGAGAAGTTTCTAAAAGTTGACATTTTGGATATCACGACTGAAGAAAATGACCTCCAGGTGAAAATTACTTCAAATGTTCTGAAGTGTTTTGATAGGAAAGAAGAAAAGCTTATTATTGAGTCTGAGTTGTTTTTTGAAGTTGTGGCCGATAGGTGCAATTGGAGCTTAGACACTGATTCGAAAGTGTTGTCAGTGATGTTAGAAAAGAAAGAACAGGACTTGTTGTGGCGACAGTTGTTCACGTGCAAAGAGGCACAACACTGTGTGGCTATGAAGGATGGCGACAGGGCAAGTGAGAATGGTAAGTGGTTCAATAAGTTTTCTGTGATGTCTAAAAGGGTTCGCTTTCGGCTACAAAGCAATAAGAGTCGAATGAACAATTAAAAAACCATTCTTTGTTATTTAATTTACAAACTGCTGCTGTGTGTTTTCCTTCATTGAACACTTCTCAGAATCTGCAAGAGGTTGAGTGGCATGAGTTTTCACTTCAGATGGTGGCGAAGAGTGCGAGAATAAACCGTACAACATTGAGGAGCTGGAGAGCTGTGACGATTTTACCTCAACCGAGAAGTCGAAATGGCAGATGTTCAGACTTAACTGGACTCACTCTGAGGACAGAGAAGAAGCAGAAGAAAAGAAACTGACGTGTTTAGCCATGCCTGTTTTCACTGCAAAGTAAGTAATTTAAGTAGTTACGATTTTTTCTTCAGGTAAAAATTACAAAATGCCAGCTATCGAACCCATAGCGGCCTATCGCCGTTAAATCACCTTTGAAATATTGATCTTATGTTTGGGCAGTACAACCTCAAGCAGAAACCACGGTATATGATGACTCTCGAACCACTTACTCGTCCATTTGAAAATATTAATTGAAAAAAAATTCTAATAAGTTTAATGTTTAGCGGATTAGCTACTGACAAATCAAGTTTTTTAAGTTTTCAAATCGAAAGTTCAAATTTTGCTCGACTTAATCATTTATACTGGAACTTTAAATAATATTAAGAAAACTTAATCACATTTCTGAGCTCAGTCACTCACAACAAATAAAAGCCATGGGTTTGCGTGATATGTCAAAGTTGAGGCCCTCTCAATCGTGATTCGGGCTGCTTTGAAAAAAATTCCAATATGTTTCGCCAGTGCTTCTCGAGATTGATATTTTCTCTTATACGTTTTCAGTTTGCACTCACACGAGATCCTCTTCTCCCGTGTTTTGAACTGTGGGGATGTTCCCGCTCTCTGCTTGAGACACGACGTAGACGCACTTCTCTGGGAGACTACCATAAGCAACGTAGTCAACGATGACTCAAAGCCACCGTAAGGACAGAACATATATGCTTGATAGCCCATTTTATCGGGGGCGGATTTTGACCTGTTTTCTCTGGAAACTCTTGTAAAATAATTACGGGAAGTTTTTTTGATAGATTTATCCAAGCGTGAATAAATTATGTTTGTGGTTTTTGAAGGGAATTTAAAACCTTGTTGGGCGAATAAGAACCGATAATGTGCGAACTATGTTTGTTATTGATGAGCGTTACTCATTAATTGTCGCTTTAGGTCACCGTGGCAGCATGCTATGACCTTCAATGCTCTGGGCTACGTTCAGGCTTCGAAGAGAGAGCGAAAATTCATATCATGTGCTCCATCAGGGAAATACGCTGCCATTGCAGAATGCACTCGTAGAGTTTACGTGTATATGCAGCCAGAAGCAATAGAATCTAGCCTCGTGAACAGAAAATCTGGAAGGAAAGTGCCGAAAATTGCAAAACAGTTTGTGATAACTTTGGATAGCCATGACCCAATTACTGGCATTGTTTGCCTTAATGAACATTTATTCATATCTCTATCTTCTGAAATCGTTGTTTACAGTATAATTTAATTTAGGCGGATTCTGTTTTTCGCTGATGCACCTAATAAGATGAAATCCTAATTGCAAGGGTTTTTATAATGCCAGGCTGTTTTTAACTTTCACCATCAAAGTTTGATGGTTTAATTTTGAGTAATGTGTTCCCAAATTTTGGATACTTTGGATGATATTCCTGGTTTGTATGAAGGGTCAACCACAACAAGTTTGAAGAGCCAAAATTTTGGCCCGATTTTATTGACGCCGAAAGTTTTTTGAAGCAGTTTAAATTGAAAGTGAATTGCTTCAATATATTACGACACTCGAATGCATCTGATTTAGTGTTGAAAAAAGCAAACAGTCCTTTCCTTGCTCAAATTTTTCCTTGCTCAGACTGTATTCAGGTTAAAAAAACTACGCATAATTTTAAGAATGAGCTAAAGATTCATTATACTAATGCCTGGTGATTTTGTGAAAGCTGAGTACATACAACTGGCGAACTTCTTTTCTCTGGGTGTTATCTAAATGTCTCAGAAGTATTTCTTCCATAACATTATTCCGAAGATCATCCGTTTGAATGAAAACTTGCATTTTTTTTTTACCAGACAGTTTTGAAATACGCAAGTCACTTCACATTAAATTTTATTACGAAGTTGACGCGCTATCGCAATAAAATGAGCTATAACTGCTTATTTACAGTGTCGAGAATAAAAAGCGGGGAATAAAAAACAAGTCAAGAAAATTTTTTTATCATAAGACGTGTAACTATGTAACAGAGGTTTGATTCCCGTAATCTCAGCATTTTTTTTTCAATGCTTTCTATCTTTCATGAATTGTTTTTGACTTCTTACTTAACCAAACGCTTGTGATACTACGCGCTCATTTTTAATCCTAAGTCGCGTAAATTAGTGCTAATCAGATAGATTTTTTGCATTCTAAGAATCCTGTGTGTCAGTTTGTTTCTTATTACGAAGTGCAGTTTCGCCTCTGGCACTTAGATTGTGGAGCTCCTTTTTATATTTCTTTTCATATTTCTTTGCTTTGTTTGACGAAATTCAGCTTCGTTAATAAGTTTTGAATCTAGGCAGAGTAAAATGTAATAGTTATAGCTGGTTGAACGCGCAATTTTCTTGTCCTCGAGGAGAAATTGTTTATGGCTTTCGTGCTTATTTTTTAAGTGCAAAAGAACGAAGTTGTTGTCACTTGTATAAGTCATGGCAATTTTCTTGATATGTTCAGTTCAAACTCCACTATAGAACAATAAAAAGGTAAAAATTACGAATAACTTGACTTTAATTTTCCGAGAAGGACTTTAATTTTCCGAACTTCCAACGGAATAAAAAAATTAAATTTTGATCAAATTTTTCTAAATGGGAAAACGTATAGAAAAATTTGCTTGTTCCTTTTTTTGTTATTGTTTGCTTTTGTTGGTTGATCCTCTTCCAATTGTCTAATGGCTATGTTTATAGAGTTGTTTTCTGTTTTCCACGCAACATACCAGAAGTAATCATCGGAATGAATCGAGCGATATAACATTAAAGGTCTTTTAGTCGTGATTCGAACGACATCTAAATTATTTCAAAAAATTGACCCAGTGTTGTGAAAATTTGGTTTGGAGCTTTTCAGCTTTAAAACAGTTTTGAACAAGTAAAGCGATTGATTAATGTTCGTTTTTAGGTAAATGATCATTCAGGCTACGGAAACCTGATTTTTTTGAAGTGAAGTTATTTTTCGAAGCTTCATTTTGCGCTTCCTTGGCAATAAGCAATTGCCTAAAAATATTAAATAATTGGATAATTGGTGCAAAAAAAAACATTTACGAACTTTTTAAAAAAATTTTTTTACTGACAACTGTTGTCGATTGTTTTATCATGACACCACGCATGATTAATGGCGTTATTTGAGGAATACAAAGAAAAGATCTTTTTAGTGCTTTTTTTAGATTGTGGTCGGAGCATTCTATGCTTTTGGCCAAGCAGCCAGCTTTTCTTGTTTTTGAATCCAGCAGAGTAATTTGTATTTAATTTATTGCTTTTTACAATTTTGATTTGGCAATTGTGTTGGTCATCTATTTCCGTTAATTAAAGTAGTTTATCCTCAGTTGTAATTAGTTTCCAAATTTCTCGCAATTTTTTTGAAATGCATGTTTTAGACATGAATTGGCTTTATGCTTTCCAGTTTTTTACCTGCAAAATTGTGTCTTTTTGTATTTGATTCTACTTCTGCTGCATCGCATTGTCAATTTTTGGCAAATTATTAGCATATGTAGCTGCGTTACTGGTGGCTAGTTTTTGGGGACTTCAAGCATCCGTTGCTGAGTGGTTAGTGCGGAGTTTCAGAGGTTGGTTAGGTAAGTTAGGTTAGGTAGTTTCAGTGGTTAGAGTGAGTGGTTAGGTTATAGAGCTGCTTTTTGGCCGTGTTCTCGCAAGTCTTTGCGGAGCGGAGCTTCGCCTCTGTTTTTAATCTTGATCTTACTTCTTTGCTATCGAGTTACTTGATAGAGCTGCTTTTTGGCCGTGTTCTCGCAAGTCTTTGCGGAGCGGAGTTTCGCCTCTGTTTTTAATCTTGATCTTACTTCTTTGCTATCGAGTTCCTTCGATTGCTGTTTTTTTGGCTTCACTATAGTTACTTTTATCGGCTATAGTCAAATTTTGCTACTTAACCCAAACATATTTGAAAGTTGACTCCCATTTAAGCACTCATTTGTCCTGTTCTGTCCTAAGCACTCATTTGTTCTGTTCTGACCTACTCGCACGGTTACTAGCTATTCTAGTGACTCTTTGCGTTTTACCAGAATGTTTTTTCAACATGATACTGTTTTCTAGAGTGTTAAAAAACCTGTAATCTATCTGTCTATACCCTATTTAAATAGAGTTTCCTCTGACACATAATTAGGAAGTTGCAACATTTGAAGATTTTGTTACTGAAGTCAACATTTTGCACTAACGAATGTAGTATTACTATGACTCTACTATTTTCCAACCTAACTCGCAAATAATTGTGTTCATTTGTTGGCTCTTTTGCTTTAATCACCATCTGAAGCTCAAGAATTTTTTGGCATCTGTTGTCAGCTTTGTTTGTGGCGAGCTTTTGACGATCGTTAAGCGTCCGTGGCCGAGAGAGACTCCCGGTCGCAGATTCGAATCCGACACGCACCAAATGTTTTACTTATTTGAGGATTCTATTTTTTTCTTGTTTCTTTTTATAGAAATTTTTTGTTGTTTTTTCAATAGCGTTTGCGAAGCCCAGCCTGGCTTCTGTTAAATATTCTCTGTGAAAAGATTTTGTTTAAACGAAATATATAATGCAAACTTTCTAGGTTATATTCGTTTGCACCGACCATACACCTCTTGGAGCGCGAATGCTTCAACTCTACAGATTTTCCTCTATTCTCGCAACTGAAACGTTTAAAAAAACTTTCGCTACATTTAATATGAGATTAGCAGAATATGAGATTAACAATTCTGTAAAAGTGCGCTGTCTCTCTGGGATTGCTAATCTAGAATCGAAATCTGACTGCTCAATTTTTTGTTTTTACTGTTGCCACAAGCAAATCTATTGCAACCGGGTACTTGACTTTTTTCCTGAATTGAATTTGTTCACAGGATGGTACATTTAGAAGGTAGTTGGAAGTGTTAATTATACAAATATGCAACTTACATGGTTTGCGTAGATAGGGTTAGAGCTTGCATGGCAGATGCAAGATCTTTTCATCTGAATTTTATACTGAAATTATTTCGGCTGTTTTTCAGCTTATTAAATGTCGGCTTTTATTCTGTCGGCTTTTTTCCTATTAGTTTTGGGTGGATTTTTTGGTATTTCTACAATTCTTTTCAAATATTTGAAATCAGCTCTGTGACTCTACTTGAAAAGAGGTTTTAGCATGATAAAATTGTTTTATATTTCTGTCGAGCTCACTACTTTTTACTGTCGTGTTTTTGAAAGTTGGTGGTAACTCCTCGAAGTATTCTTTCAGATGATCCGGTAAATGAATATCGACCAAATCAAGACCATGTAACTCACCTCTTGGTAGCAATTGTATGAACTCGCCCATAAACTCATCTCAATTACCGAGTAAACCGTCAACCTAGTACAAATTAATACTTAAGGATCGATATATCCGATTCAAAAAGCTTTTCGATAGATTTCAAAGACTAGCTTTTTACAGAAATACAAAAAATACATTTTGTATGATACTATGAGACCCAAGAAACCTTTTGCGCTGTGCATCATACGAACAAAAATCATTCAACTCCATCACTGAATATATCAATGTTAAGAAAATTTTTATCACTAAAGTTACTCTATAGGAAGACAAACGTGTGCGATGAGGTAGCAACCCAGAAACTCACAAAAGAACATGATTCACAGCATGCATCAAGCATGATTTTTCCTTTTTTGAAGTATGAGTAATGGCTTTCTATATGATTTTTTTAAAAAAACTTTACTTCAAAAAACAGAACTTGAAATTCTCAACCCTTACGCGAGGTGCTGTGAGTGTACACTCAGGGGTTGCGAATTCGGCGTCCAGTTATGACTGCTCAACTCACTTTCGTAATCGAGATATGACGTGTTTATGATTTTTCCAGATTTTGTTTAAAAAAACTGATGTAAAAAACCGAACCTGAAATTCTCAACCCTACTGGTGGGGTCCTGTTGGCGTATATTCAGGATGTGCTGACAGGGTACAAATTTTGTCTGTAACTGTTGCTGCTCAAATCTTGCTTGTTTCTGAGATATATCGTTTCTCATTATTTTTTCAAAAACTTAGTTTTTAAATTTAGTAGTAGAAATTGAAATTCTTAAACCTATGGTGGGAAGCGTCAGGGAACAATATAGGGTAGCAAATCCGCCCTCTAATTTTAGCTGCTCGATTCATTTTGGTTTTCGAGATATGGCGTTTTTTATGAAATAGAGACCTCTCATAGATGAGCTTAGTTTGTTTTCACGGTTGAATTAATAATCGCTATTTTAGTACATATTTTAGGAAAATCTTACGTTCAACGACCTATTTGAAGCTCTGTAAGTGCGACTCATGCGCTAGTACCA